TTTCCCTAGGCAAAAGTATAATTAACAGGGTCTTTTTAGGGATTTTGGCTAAAGAGGAATAATATAAGGCATTATATCGAAAATATTTTAGAACCCCTAACTTCTATCCCCTCTAAATATGCCATGTCCAGCAGAAATTGACTAAAATAGAGAAAAATTCCAAAGTGGAAAATTGATATACCAGCTATGTTATAGATGAGGGAGAAACTTATTAAAGTTTCTAAGGTTAAAATTTCTCAATGATATATTTTATTCACCTGAGGGTTTTATGGGTTTCTTTTAGTCCTCACTTGAGGATATTTTTTATAGATTCCTTTTTTAGAGAGAGGAAGGGGGAGAGAGAGAGATTGACTGCCTCCAGTATGCGCCCAACAGGGAATCAAACCCACAACCTTTTGGTATATGGGATGATGCTCCAAACAACTGAGCCACGTGACCAGGGCCTCAGAATTTTAAAAATTTTTAGATAAAATGTAGTTGTAAGGAAAATATATAACTTCAGCATTTTGTTTATCATTTTGTTCTCTTCCTCTATGCTTTTATTTTTAACTATTGAGTTTTCATCACTTAAGAACTTTACTGTATATAAATTTCTTTTTTTCTCTCATAATCCCTTCTCCTGGATTTCCTTTCATCATTATGTCAAATAAAATATATTTGTCCCAATTGCCCCAATTTTTCTATAACCTATTTGCCAAGTGTTTGCCACCATTTATAAAGCAATTTGAAATACATTAGTACATTTGCCAAAACCAGTTTGGCTCAGTGGATAGAGCATCAGCCTACGGACTGAAAGGTCCCGGGTTCGATTCCAGTCAAGGGCATGTGCCTGTGCAGAAGGCAACTGATTGATGTTTCTCTCTCATCAATGTTTCTGTCTCTCTTTCCCTTCCTCTCTGTAAAAAATCATTAGTACATTTGGTTCTCACCCTATGAGATAGACACGGTAGATCTCATGCCCTTGGGAAAGCCAGTGCTCAAATTGTGATATTCTACTCACGTCTTGTAGCTGGTAAGGAGCAAAACCAAGAACCCAACTCTTGTCTTTTGACCATAACCACCTACCCAGACTCTAACCTGCTGAATTCCACACAGAACCTACCATGGGGTATTATGGGAAATTTTACTTTGTATTTTCTTTTTTTCAGTAAAAATAAAAGCGAAATAAAAATAGTAATGACTTAAAATTTATGTCCAAACCCACATCCATACAATCACATAATGCCTTAGGATTTAAAATCCCACCCACCAAATTCACAAAGGTGAGAGAACATTTACTTCTCCCTCTTAATCTACATATCAGAACACTTAAGTAAGGGGTCAGGCACTATAAGCAAACCTAGAATGAGATAAGTTGCATAGATAAAATGTTGGTTTCTATGACGCATACAATTTGCATAATATTTATATTATTCATTTAAGGCTGGGAATCGCCACTCTAAAATGAAGTGTGTATAGTGCCTTGCTGAATTTCTCTGGTTTTCAAACATGCTTCTGAATACGTGGTAACTCATAGAAGCCAATTCCTTTTTCAATCTACCAAGACCCTATCTGGTGTAGATCTAATAGCTGGCTTTGTAATTTGAAAGGCAAACATGCAACAAAAAAAGATGTTGCAATGAGCAACATAATACTCTGAAAACATAGCACATACATTGGACCTTGGTTAGCATTTCAAGTAAATAATTTTTAGATTACTAAAATATCTTGGAAGTTTTTTTATACCAACAGCCTTCAAACTATTTCCTTTTTATATCTTACTTTTCAACCAAGATTTCTATGCTTTTGGTTTTCAAATACATTTCTCTCCCATTTATTGTACCTTTCATCTCATACATTTCACCATCTCATTTATAACTAAATTTATTTTTAAAAATTTTAAAGCATCTTGGCCAGAAACTTAGAATTCAACACTAGTTCCAATCCAGCCAGTAACAAGCCGCATCCTTTTCTTTGCCCAAGGCATATCGTGGTTTACTCTTTTAATTTACTGAAAGGCAAGTTTAGACTCATGCCTTTAGCTAGAAGACAGATGCAGGAATGATTTCTAAATATCTTATTTCCTGCTTTAAAAATTAAATGAAAACTCTTTTCTTTTTCCTTCATTAGCATCATCACATTTCAGGATTGCCTGCAGCGTCACCCCAGAGCTCCCCAGCCTCATTTGTACTCACCGGCTGCCTTTTGACACCTAGCCAGTTCTTCCAGACCAGGATCCGAAGCTGGTGAAACTGGGAGGCCATCCTTCAAACACCCCAAACAATATATTTTTTTATTTTTTTCCTCCACTCCTCAAAAACAAACAAAAAAGAATTGGTCCAACTTGTGTGTCAATGGGCCAGAAGTCTTTTCACGGCATAGCTTCCGTGTCGACTGGGGTAAGAAACCCACAGATGTTCTCTGCCACGGATGTTATTCTCCTGTGCAACGATTGGCTTAATTCTTGACCCAGGAGCACTTCTCAACCAACTCTTCCTCTCAAATAAGGACCCAGACCAGTATCTTTCAGTGGTTTCTGCTTATAGTAAAATAACCTCCAGTTGCTGCTTGTTGCGTGAAGTCCAGACTCAGAGAGAATGAATACCATTCAGATAATGCCCCACTGTGAAGGAGAAAAAAAAAAAAAGAGAGCTGAACCTCCTACTCTCCATGAAATTAGCTGCCTATCCACACCTTCGAGGAGGTGTCACCTGCACTGAACACGTCATGAGGAATTAGGTGGGACCCTTGCCAGGCCAGTAAGACTTGTCCTACATTCTCTCGCCTTCTTTACTACATAGTGCCTACTCCAGCAGAGCCAGGCAGGGCGTGAGGAGCATTTTACAAACTCTAGCCCAGTGACTCTTATACTAGTAATATTTACAGTGTCGTTAAGCTGTTTTAAGTCAGTAAGACCAGAGCTCAGCTAAAAAGCTCTGAACCTTAGCTCATCACTAGATATATAGAGAAAGTTTTATGTTCATTCTAAACTTGAGTTGAATGTTTTGATTTGAGGGGAAGTGACTATGTTGGCTAGGTCCTACCTTCCATCACAATTTACTAGGTTAGGCAAATGCAGAGAATAAAAGGTAGCAATAGGGGACATAAATAATATGCAATAGATTCCTTATTTTGGAGGTGTGGATTCATAAATACATTACAGGAAAGCTTTCATAATCAGGCTTTCATAGTTAAAGGAAACATAGGCAAGCAAGTAATTTTGATTGTGATTTAAGGGTATATATATATAATGAAGAAGTAACCTTGCTTACACACCTTAATGACAACATTCCCTCAGGTACTCAATGCTTCCGCCATCTGGCTCCAGCCAGTTTTCCAATCTCATCTTCCAATAGTCTCTTCCAAATGCTTGACCACTTGCCAAACTGGTATATATTACAATATGCAAACATAACCTGTGCTTTCTGGTCCCTCACCTGAGATGCACTTTTCCCTCTCTAAGCTCCTACCTCCCAAAATTATTCCCAGGTTGACATCTTCCATGAAGCTTTTTTTAGATATACTGCATAAGATGTCTTCTCTCCTGCCTTTGAATCCAGCATAATTCTTTATTTATATCTATCACAAGGGACTTACGTTTTTGCTTCATTGCTATTTTTGTCTATCTTATTTTTCCTACTAAATTGCAAATTCTTTAAGAGCCTAGACTATTTTATAAAACAGTACTTCATGCATGATCAGTGATCAATAATCACTCTGAATTTAATTGAATAGGCTGTTTAAGCCCAGGCTGGTTAAGGTCTCTTTCAATATTCATGCTTTTCCATTTCTCTGTTTGTGAAATCAGTTAAAACAGTGTCTGAGCTCTCCCTTCACACCTGGAGCAAGTGCTCCCCTTCCTGGTCCCCATGCCAACTCTGTGAGGATGATGACAGCCAGCCTGGGGCTAAGTGGAGCCATGCTGGCATATGCCCATTGCATCACTTTGGCTGTGCCCCTATTGTGAAGAATCCAATCCTCACGAGGCAGTCAGTCCTAAATATCAAGATTTGACCCTTTAATTATTTCTGGACAAGGTGAAAGACAAGGGGTTCTTCAGACAGCCGATGGTCTCAGAGATTCTACTTTCCCTCACCACTCCTGAAATGTAGTGTCAAGATTCAGGTGGCTTTCTCAGGCTTCACCGAAGACTTGAACTCCTGCTTCCCAATATTTTTTCTCTGCCATCTGTCACAATCTAGAATTCACCAGGAGTCTGGTTCACAAATAAACATTGTTCAGTTGTGAAGACAGGTGGGATTTGAAATGTGACTCTATGTGTCTAGGTCCATTATCTGGAAAGAGTCACTTTATTCAGTCAGGTTACTTCAGGTTAAAAGTATTGACTCACCACATGACTGATGCAGGTGAGAGGTCAATTCAAAAAGTTCCAAATAGTTTCTCCCAGGAGTTGCTCATCACTTCTCCAGTATAATCATGGAGTTGTTTTGTTGGTTTTGTTTCATTTTGGTGAGAGATGTTTCTCTCCGGCTGTCCTCTCCCTGGATATCTTCGTCTATGATCTCAAATTTTCTGATGAAGATAATATATTTTATTACATCTCATGATTCCCAGATATATTTCTTCAAAATAATTTCACAATTATACATTAGGTGGTTAATGTATCGAGGTATTCCTTTATAATTGCAGGCATACAATGTCATGCACACTTCCTTGGGGACTGGAGTAATCTTTCACAAAATATAATTCAAAGTAGTTTAAGTTGGGGTACATAGGAAATCATACATCCAAATTTTGCCCTATTCTGAATAACTATATTTTTAAATTAAATGTATTGGGGTAACTGGTTAATAACATTATATAAGTTTCAGGTGTTCAATTCTATAATACATCATCTATACATTGCATTGTGTGCTCACTACTCAAAGTCTAGTCTCCTTCCATATATCTGACCTTGTTTACCTTCTTCATTGTCCCACCAGCCCGCCTTCCTTCTAGTAACCACCATACTGTTGTCTGTGTCAATGAGGTTGTTTTGTTTGTTGCTTTCTGTTTTGCCCCATATATGAGTGATATCATATGGTTTTTGTACTTTTCTATATCTTGGCATCTATATTGACCATATCTGCTTCTAATATCTTTTTTAAGGTTTTCAAATTTCTTTTAAATTTTTATTTTAAAAACATCTTTTAAGATTTCATTGTAGAAAGGTGTTAGCTAACAATAATCTTGGGAACTATAGCTTACATAAATCAGGAATTATAATCATTGATCATAAGAGAACTTGAAGTAATTATTAAATCAACCAAAATGAAATGGGAGAGAGAATGTGGAAGGAAATTAAAGACAGTAAAACATTTTTTTTCACAGAGTAAGATATAATTTTGTGCCCATTCTTGATTGTAGATTGAGGTGCTATTGGCAGGTATCATAAAATTTCCTCTTGAGGAAAGAGAGAACAATTTTGTAACCAGAAATAAGCTGTTCCAAGGACACACAGCGACTGAAAAATGTCTTTTAAATAGTAAAAAGCTAAACTGAGCAGAAAGTGAACAAAGGCAAATTATAATAATATAACCCATGAAAGAATACATTTACCAAGAAACTGCTTACAGACTTTATTATTATAGGTGTACCAAGAAGTTAAATTATCCTGTTTAGCAGGACTATGGTGATCTACCACACTCCTCAGGCATTCCAGCCTTTCTGCCAGAGGCCAGCTGCTGGGGTGTTTCTTGGCATCTAGATGGGTTCAGGAATCTGGAGAAGGACTGCGAGTAAATTAATAAAGAGACTAGACATGAAATATAAATTTGGAAGGCATTTTGGGGAGCCAGAAGAGACCTAGCTTCAGTAACCAAGTTCTCTGAATCTCTGGACCCCTAGCTTTTTATTAACACAAACTGCCCTAAAGCAAAGCAGATATACATATCAAAGGTAAGGTTTGGTATACAGTAGGTATTGTCAGGTTGGGGAAACTGCCTTCTGCTGTCAGGTAGCAGATAATAATATATGCAAATCTTTAGGTTTGGGGAAATACTTTCAGCGATTCCAGCAGGCAATAATATGTGTCTTCAGCTCTGCCGAAGCCTCAAGGTCCACCAACCTTTGGATGAACTTCTTGCATTTATGACCTGCTGGAATCAGCCCCCAGCAGCCAGCAGTCCCACATTTCCTTTAGGATGACTTCCAAGTCTTAGTCCTTAGTATCGGCTGGCACTCCTTTTCTCTGCTGCTGGTGACTCTACTTCTTGGTGATCAATAGGTTCATCCCTTTATTAACAAGAACATCTACCAGAACTTAGGCAGTTTGCTTTTATGCACTCACTTGACCAACATTTAAAACAAAATATAGCTGCGGGCATCGGGAGGCCACTATGGCACAGGGCAAACACTATGGGCAGTCTATCTGAGGTGTGCTTGGCGTATAAGACGACCCCCCACTTGGAGGCATATTTTTCAGGGCCAAAAAATCGTCTTATACGCCGGCAAATACGGTAATCCCAGTATTCCAGCCTTCTGCATTCTGAAACGTTAGTAATCATAAGTTTTGGAGAAAAATAGTTCAACCAGCCTAAATTTGACAGAGCCATGCATGCCAAGAATTAGTTTTGGTCTTATCTAAGATTACCTCCATGGTAACTTCACCTACTGAAACTGCACAGAATGATGGCTCAGCCAAGACTGCACAACTGTGTAATTGGTGGGCTCCATGAGCATTAGATGTGGCAGTTTTTGTCTGTCAACTACTATATAGTATACTCCAGAACCAGGGCAAGAGGGAATTGGTCCAAACATGAACAGGATATTGATGTAGCTGAGACATGTTGATTTATTTTAATAGTATTTATGAGAGACCTATATTAATAATGGTAATAATAATAAATACTGGACTATAATGCTCCTGTCCTGTCTAATTCATCACTGTATAGTAGGAATCTAGCACAGGTATTACCTTTAGTAGGTGGTTCATTAGTGCTTATTGAATAACTGAGTAGCAAGCATTTGTTAAGCATTTATTGAATCATCACAGGAGGCATATTGTGTAGAAACTGGTCTAATCCCCATTTCCAAAGGAAAAATGTGACATTCAGAGAGGTGACATAACTTGCCTAAGTTCACCCAGTTAGAAGTGAGGACAATGACAACAGCAGAGTTGGAACTCAAACCCTAAATCTATTATTCTCATCTCTGTGCTCTGCTACTTCCAATCCTGCTACCTCCAATCCAACTGTTTGTTGTGGGAAGGGCTGAGAAGAAAAGTAAATGACTTCAGGGGTCTTCTGGTTCTCTTGGAGTCTATAAATCAGTTATAGACATTTATTTATAATGAAAATTTATTACCAAAATAAGGGCACAAAGAATAAATGTACCAGGAATTCAGGA